CTCCTGTCCACCGTTGCGACTCCCAACTTCCAGGACCTGCAAATTCCGCCCCTGCTCGGGCCCTCTCCGAGTGGAGCCGTTCCTGCAGCTCAGGCTTTCGCCCCAGGTCGAACCGACCTCGACGCAGCCCACAGCAGCCCAACCAGCCCCGCCGCACACTGGAAGCAAGCTCCAGCAGAATTCGCGGTCCAGAAGGGCATCAATCAAGAGTTGCTCGCCGCCTCTGCCACCGAAGACGAGGGTTGTGCTTTGCAGGCCCATGCTTAGTGCCTGCAGTCCTTTGAGCCATGCCTTAGTGACTTAGTGATGCTGGCCGAGCCACCTTCCGATGCAGGTCCTCGCCGTTGCCTCCAAGTACGTGGACCAGATGAACGGCGTGAACCTGTCGACGGCCATCCATCGCATCGCCCGCGCCTGTCAGCGCTTTAAGAACTCCGCCGACCAGGTCAGAAAGGTGCAGCGGGGCTGGGAGAGGGGGCAAGGGGGAGGCGATTGCATGGGGTCCTCAGCATGGCCGGGCATGGCACAAAAGTTTCTGAGGGAGGAATAGAGTAGCGAGCAGGCGCCAAGCTTCGTGTCCCTCGTCGTGGCGGCAGAGCGCATGGTCCTACAGGAGCTGGAGCATCGGGATTCACAGATGCCAGTGAAGTGCTGCACCATCATCGCTTGGTCCTGCGCCAGCCTCCGTGTCTTCCGGAACTCTCTTTTCAAGGCCCTAGCTCGGCTGGCAACAGTGTCCCTCGAGCAGTGCCAGTCCTACGAGATGACGAATATCATGTGGGCATTTGGGGAGCTCTGCAAGAGCCGTCGGCAGCTGAGCAAAGATTTGAAGGAAGACCTCCGCAACCTCTTGGAGGCGACGTGCAGTGTCTTCATCGCCAGGCCCATTGGATGGAAGCTCCAGGTGCTCATGTCTGCGCTCGTCTCCTTGACAATCCTCCCTTGGCAGCCCTGCAGCCAGCTCCTCTTCACAGACATCGCCAAAGAGGTGGCCGGTCGCCAGCAGGAGCTTGCCAATGAGAAGACGAAGCCACTGGCCATGGCCTTCCATGAGCTCCGCACCAAGAAGCCCCAGGCGACGATAGAAAAGCCTCTTGGCTGTTTGTAGCCCTTGACAAGCGCCCGAAGCCGCAGGCCTTCAAGGAGATCATGCTGGCCCTGCAGGACTTCCCCGACTTCGTCGCACACCCCTCGCTGCGGGGCAACCGCACGTGAAGCC